CTTCTGAGTTCTGTGTTCCTTCACAGGTGTATTTGACCAGAAGCTGACCTCTCTGTGATTTACAGTTTTCTTAGCAGCATTAAGCCATTTCAAGCTGCTTTGGTATTCCTATTGATTTGTATAGAGAGAAAAGCAGTTCTGGCGGGAACAAAAGGCCAAGTGCACAGACCCAACAGAGCCAATTCTGTGCTCTCTCCTGTTGTAAACATGTTCACAGCGGTAACCTGACAACAAAGCAGCAAAAGCTGATTGGCTGCTATCACTGACATTCCTCCTTCCAGCCCATGCAGCGGATTATAGAAAGCTAAGAAGAACTTGATGCATATAAAATATAGGATTACATTATTAATTTCCAAAGAGAATCCTTTTCATGGTCCACCAAGTTACAAGCCTGGTCCTACAGCACATTTCACCGTAATGTCTTCTGTGCTGTTTCTACCGCAGAAACACTTTGTTTAAATGAATGACAAAAGAAACATTTCTAAACGTCTCTTTAAATCAACGCTTCAAAGTAGGTGAAGATTGATGAAATGAAATCATCAAGCTGCAATCCAAGAGCTCTTGTAGATAACAATTTCTTTATTCCCTGCTGGATAAAGATGCTCGTAGGTAGTTTTACCCTCATGTCAGTAAACCAATCTAATTCCGGGTGAATCCGCAGCCGTTATAGGTGTAGACAGGATAAGATGTTGGAATGTATAAAACACTTTATTTACAATTAAAGGGGAATGTCAGGTGTGAGGTCTCATTCGCTCGAGTGGCGGAGCCGTGTCTCTGGTGTTTGCTCCCCACTTTGCAGATATATACTTTTATATATATGTTTTTTTTAAGCAGCTGCAATGGCCTCTGTCGGTCTCCACGGGTGTCATTCAGGAGCATTGGCATGCAGAGGGATGCATCTTCTCGTTTTCTGGCATCTGATGTCTATGCCTACCTCCTCTTCGAGTGATGGCTTTATTTATTAGCCAGAATTCACTTTCAATTGAATAGTAATTGTGTATGCAGTATTACCTATCTTCACATACATGAAATGCTAAATTATGCAAAAAAGAAACCTCTTATGGAAAAAATATTTTTACATACAGTGAGGAACAGAAGTATTTGAACACCCTGCGATTTTGCGAGTTCTCCCACTTAGAAATTCTTTAAAAAAAAAATCATACAATGTGATTTCCTGAATTTTTTTTTTTAATTCCGTTTCTCTAGGGCTGACAGATGGTTTCAGGGCTGACAGATCTCCTCTAGATCTGTCAGCCCTGAAACCTGACAGATCTAGAGGAGATCTGTGTGGAGGAGTGGGCCAAAATCCCTGTTGCAGTGTGTGCAAACCTGGTCAAGAACTACAGGAAACGTTTGACCTAATTGCAAACAAAGGCTTCTGTACCAAATATTAACACTGATTTTCTCAGGTGTTCAAATACTTATGTTCAGCAGTGCAAGACAAATACATTCTTTAAAAATCATACAATGTGATTTTCTGAATTTTTTTTTTTAATTCTGTCTCTCAGAGTGGGAATGCACCTACAATGTGAATTTCAGACCCCTCCATGATTTCTAAGTGGGAGAACTTGCAAAATCGTAGGGTGTTCAAATACTTCTGTTCCTAACTGTATAACTACCGTACTTCATGTTTCCATCTTTGGTGAATTTGTGTCCATTTGTTCTGTACCTTCACTGAGCAAACAGGAATTGTTCTTTACACTACTAGAAGAAATCCCTGCTCTTCACACACTTTTTCTGCATTTTTGAAAGCTCAGAGGTAGTGCTAGGATGCACAATGCCATCAGTTATAACGATTTATAGCAGGGAAGTCAGGTTGAGTTAATTAAAGTTTTTAAATGAAAATTAGAGGCACTCGTTAAATTGGCTGTGTCCCTTAAAGCCAAACTCCAGGCAGACACCAATTAAAGTGTATCTAAACCCAAAGCAAAATGTAACACATTGTGGTTTATCAGGCACTAAATGTGGTGACTGCATTTGTTTTCTTTATTCAGGTTTTTCCTTTATTTTTACCTGGCAATCCTGCGAGCAGCACATTTCCAGCCCTAGGGTGGCAATGCTCGCTCACTCCACTGTATCTATCGAGGGAACCATGGCTATCACCCAGGCTGGACTTCAGACATGTTTGTCTTTGTTCATCTACATTACATGGAAAGGCGCGTGAAAAAATAAGTAGTTTACAGAGAAAAGATAAGATTGTTTAGTCTTTCTGTTAAGCTCACAGGAAGAGACAAGGACATGGCATGTCTGGCAGGATCAACAGGCATTTTCTGTACTTGCTAAGAATGTCCTTAGCCTAAAAAAGAGAACGAATGCGGCCACCACCTTTAAGGACTGGTACTGAACAATATTGTTTGTATTTGGGCGTTAATTTGGGTTTAGTTATTCTTTAACACCTCTCTGTAATCATTAATATGTTCTTATATGTGGTTTTATTTTGCTCAAGTTGTATAATTATTAGATTTTAAAACTGAAATCCTGGAATGCTGGTGACTGGCGTATCACAGGCAGGACATAGTGCCGATCGGAGTAACCTTTGCTTGCAAGAATTTCTTGATACATTTTTCTAAAGTTGTGAGACTGTGAGCTTCTTTACTTATTTCATGGTTTCTGTTTGAGGATCTTCTCATGCTTCAGCAGAACCCAGCCCCGTAAGACATTCTAGATTAAGATGTCCCAGGTTGTTTGCCATACAGATTTTTCTTTCCCCTTTGAGTACCACACGTCCTCCCACAGGTCGGGTAGGACTACCTAGTGAAAATTCAATCACTACGTCTGTCAACCTTGTGTTGTTTGTAGTCTCATCTATGAGAGATGGAAACTCCGTGAAATGTGTAGCACCCTCTACTTAGATGCTAGGATTTGAATAGTTAGGATAACTATAGCCATGTTTCTCTGCTTAATTATTATTATTATTATTATACAGTATTTATAAAGCGCCAATAGTTCGCTCAGCGCTGTACATTACAAAGGGGAAAGAACAGTGTGACAGAACAATACCAATACAATGCAAAACATGAGGGGATCGAGGGCCCTGCTATTAATAGAGAGATTGTTTGATAAATTGAATTGGGTTCTCTGCTTAACAGAGTGCAGTAATGGATTAATCAGGCCTGCTCATGATGCTCTTGTTCTGCTGAGTTTGTCTTGGCTTCTGCCTTCCTTCAGGAAGCTATGAGAGCCTTCCATAACCTGCGAGGGAATTAGGAAAATGAGCAGCATGAATATGGATACAGCCCTGGCCTATTACAGGGGACGGTGGCCCAATTGCATGCTGGGAGTGGTATTCATGTTCTATGACCACATGGGTTCAGCATCTTTCCCAGGAGAGGATTGAACTAAGCCAGGCTGGAGGCAGGCTTGCCTCACCTGGCACTTGCTGCCATGCGGGTCTCAGGTGGGTGACCTGAGGGCCTGAAGTTAGGAAGAGTGACCCTGGTTCTACAGTAAGCTGACTGAGGGGAACTGTCTGCCAAAGATCCGTCTGGTATCACTGGAGGATTTCGCTTGGAAGGAAGCTGTCATTCTGTCTTTGGACCTTGTGAGTACAGACATTGAAAGCACTTGGGGACTCTGTGTGCTTGCTACCGCTATGTTGCTTGATGTTGCTTGGTCAGCTGGTGTTCTGAAGAGCTTGTCCAACTGTTGATTCTGCAAAGGACTTTGCTCAGCTACGTTACTTTTAGGCTGTCGCAGTCTGTAGTAACTGACTTGTACCTGAGGAGCTCAGCCCTGCTACTACTATTACCGCTAAAGGGACTTTGCTCACTCTTACACTACTTGTAGCTACACATTAAAGAGAAGCTCTTATGATGAACTTCTCCACTCTTTCTCATACCTGCATGAGAGCATGCAGTACACTCACCGCGGATACTCGATGTGGACGTTAGAGAGCCTTGCTGTTCTGTTCTGTATGGGAGAGATCCGCAGTGAGCGTTAACTGTATCTCAACCCTTTTTTGCGATTGAAGCTGGTGTCTGTTGGACACCTTGTTTGTGAGTTTCCTTATACCTTTTTTTATTAAAGAGATAAATGAAAAAAACGTATTGCACCATTATTCTCTTTTTTGTCCCTGAGTGTACTGCATGCTCTCATGGAGGTATGAGAAAGAGTGGAGAAGTTCATCATAAAGAGCTTGGGCTGCAAAGTTGTTTGTCTGTGATTATTATTATCTGGAAGTATCTGAAACATCACCATATCTATTTGGACATCGGGTTCATTGCTCCCAGAGCACAAGCGCTGTTGCTGGTTTATAATCTGACCAGCCATTAGCTCTGGTGAGTTCATTTAATCTCCTTTGGTGGTGGATTTTTCACAATTGGTTCAAGTCACTGAAGATATATATATATTTTTTGGACACTAATTTATGTTTGGACACTATAATTATTTATTTAAAACACTAATGTTTTTTGGATGATGATATACACTTTTGTATAAGTTTGTTATTAGCGCATACCTTTTAATTAGGATTATTGTAACCAAAATTTATTTTGGGTGGGATATGCTGCTGACATTTTGGTGTTTTTTTTGTAAGTGGCGCTTTTTTCTTTTTTAATTTGGTATAGGGTGATGATGTTAGTCTGGACCTCTTTAACCACCTTCCGCCCGCCCTATAGTACAATGACGGGCGCAAGGTGGTTCTCTCGTTCTGATAGGACGTCATATGACGTCCTACCATTCTCACTGCGCATGCGCGGCTCAGGGAGCGCGCAGTGTGGCGATCGCCGGTGCGCTGTGTCCCTCGGACACAGTGGATCACGGAAAGAGCCGAAGATGTCGTCTCGGTCATGTGATCAGCTGTGTCCAATCACAGCTGATCACATGTAAACACAGAAATGCCGGTTATCGGCATTTATCTCCTCTTGAGCTGTCATGCTGACAGCTCGAGAGGAGATCCGGTAATCGGCTTTCCGCGGAGGGGACATGTACACTGATGATCAGGGCACTGATGATCAGTGTGCCCTGATGATCAGTGTGGCCCCAGAAGTGCCACCTGTCAGTGCTCATCAGTGCCACGTGCCAGTGCCCATCAGTGCCACGTGCCAGTGCCCATCAGTGCCACATCAATGCCACATATCAGTGCATACCAGTGCACATCAATGCCACATATCAGTGCCCATCTGAGCTGCCTTTCAATGTCACCTATCAGTGCCAGTCAGTGCCACCTATCAATGCCAATCAGTGCCACCTATCAGTGCTGCCAATCAGTGCCACCTATCAGTGCCAGTCAGTGTCGCCTATCAGTGCGCATCAGTCCCATTCAGTGCCGCCTATCAGTGCCAGTCAGTGCCGCCTATCAGTGCCAGTCAGTGCTGCCTATCAGTGCCATATATCAGTGTCATGTATCAGTGTCATGTATCAGTGTCATGTATCAGTGCTGCCTTTCAGTGCCCATCAGTGATGCCTGTCAATGCCCATCAGTGCAACCTACCAGTGCCTCCGCATCAGTGCCCATCAGTGCCACCTATCAGTGTCCATCAGTGCAGCCTATCAGTGCCCATCAGTGCAGCCTCATTAGCGCACATCAGTGAAGGAGAAAAATCACTTATTTACAAAATTGTATAACAAAAACTAAGAAAAAACTTTTTTTTTTCAAAATTTTCAATGGTTTTTGGTTTGTTTAAGAAATAATAAGATTGCCAGAGGTGATTAATTACCACCATAGGAAAGCTCTATCTGTCTAAAAAAAATGATAAAAATGTCATATGGATTCAGTGTTGCATGACCGCGCAATTGTCATTCAAAGTATGACAGTGCTGAAAGCTGGAAATTGGCCTGGGCAGGAAGGGGGTATAAGTGCCCTGTAGGCTAGTGGTTAGAGAAGAGGCTTCAGGGAACCAGTCACACAGGGGAAAGGAAGCCTGAAGGAAGGAAGGAATTAGGAATAACCCCTAGGCAAATTTAACATTTGCTGTTCTGGTACCACTGCATAGGATTTTTTTTCTGTAATTCCCAGAGTTGAATTTGGTATGAGTTTCTTGCATTCTGTGTACAGCATGAGAATGAGAAAGAGAAGCAACACAAGGAGCGAGGCAGGTGTGTTGCTGTGCAACCAGCATTCTGATAGAAGGAGAGAGCTGAGTGATAGAGATATGAGCAGATCAGTGTGCTGCTTCTCTTTTCCACTGGACAGTCACATGGTGAGGGTGGCAAGGGGACATGTAAGTGAAAGTGAAACTGCAGCAGATTCTTTTCCCTTTTGGACAAGACTGTACTATGTAATAAAACTGTGTAAATCTCAGTACAAAATGCACAGAAATACAAATCCTATAGGTAAAAAAGCTCTCATATATGCATTTCACCTGTGCATTTAGCTGTTTTTTCTGGACTCTAGCTTATAATGTGTTTTAATACAGAATGTATAACTGAAACTGGATTGTACCTTAATGCACAAAAGTCTCCTAAGCAAGATTGTACTTGAAGCTTTGTGAAGACGATCCTTTCTCTTCCCCAAATATCTCATCAGTGAGCCCGCCAGAAAGCTGTCAATGTTGATAGCTTATCATAGATGGCTGAGTCAATTCCCAACTCACAGTCGTATGTATATACGCCCTTTGTGTATGAGGGGCACCAGGGTGGAGGCCCCAGATGCAGATGATTGGTCCAGTACAGGTGATGGCTTCCTGGCCGACTTGCTTAGGTGGGTTTGGACTAGGATCTGAACATGCCTGAGATCATTACTGCTTGTCAGGAGTGTCATCCAGATTAGTGAACTTGCTGAAAGGTCTACGTCAGGGTCAACTTCAAGGTTCCATCGACACTATAATGCTGCATTAACGCATGTTGCATTAAAGTGAAACTGAAGTCTAAAAACAGAAAACTAATAGCAGGCAGGCTCTTTATTGCAGAAAATATGTGCAATGTTTCTTCTGAAACAAAATAAAGCTGCCTACCTGCTCTCTTTTGGTCATATGTCTCCTGTGGGTCACAGGAGTACACTTAGTTCTGCACACCTGTGAACCTGATTCATTGACCCAGACAGCACTCCTGTGAACCGTATTCCTGTGACCCAGATCCCGATATTCAATAATGTTGGGATCTGCCCAGATGTCTGACCGGCAGTTGGCTCAGCCTCTCAGTACAGCGCTGAGAGCCTGAGCCAGCCGCTCTTGCCCCCTCCATAGCCCGGTGCTCCAGTGAGCTCTGGACGGGCAGAGCAAAGAACGGTGACTGACAGTCACTGCTTTCTGCTCAGAGCGGACCCAAGAACTGAGTGATCAGGGGTCTTTGATTGCTCAGTTCATGGTGTAGAGCCAATGGGAGACAGCTGCATCATCAGATCAATGCTGCAGCCATCTAAGTGACTTGTACTGTATATTTGTTTTTTTTAAATTCTCTTTCAGAGGCTAAATGAGAGTACTTTCTTGATTAATTAGTATGTTGCCTATTTTCATATCTTTATTTAAAGTCTGAGATTTTCTCTTTACAGGTGAGACGCTAAAAGGAACATTTTTTTTCTTGGTTGGTCATCTCAGCAACACTGGTGAAAAATTGCGAAGGCACAATCACTGCCCATCTCATGTCTCTCATGGACAAACACAAAGTGAAGCGGCAGAGGTTAGATCGGATATTTGAAGGTAAGTCTATCTCCTTTTGTATGGTTTGGCAAATTTCAGTGTCTGTAACCTAACTGAAAAATCATAGAAGGAAGCTGACACCATCTGACACCCCCAGAGCATCCTGACAGTGATGATGAAAATATCCATCACCCACGTGAACTATTCTCCAGTGTGGAGGATTAAGAGTTTGGAGGATTAAGAGTGTAAGTTTGCATCTGAGGCATCTCTGACAGGTATCCAGCTTGAAGACAGAGTCCTTTTAAATGGCAAATATTAACAGGAACCCGGAGCTGTAAACCCCATCTTTGATTCACTACTTGCAACACTGAACACATTCATGGTGTGGAGTTACAGTTTCGGTAACTGCATAATTCTCCCAGGGCAGTATCTGGAGGTAAGGATAAGGATGTCAATCACAGAGCACATACCTTTTTAAAGCCAAATTGGTGGTGCAGGGTACAGGGTGTGATGGAGGTAAACAGTTTGATTTTCAAGAGCCAGACTTCTACTGCCCCTGTGAGGTGGTATTTGTGTGCTGGGGATATGATGGATTACAGAGAAATCTGATTAAGATAAACTGAACCATAGCACAGTCAAAATAGATTTTTGAACACCTAAGAAGAATTGGAATAGAGATTTTTAATGCTAGAAAAGGCTATAAAAGCATTGCCTAGATTTTTATCAATCCACTGTAAGACAGTCTGTTTAGAAATGGAAGAAATACAGCCTTGGATTTTGTGTCCTATAAAGATTGTGGCTATAGTTCTTCATGCATTTCTATAGCAAGTAAAATAACTCTAGGATAACATAATAGGACCTGTAGAAATAGTTTAAATGCCTACATCTCCGTGCATAGGTCCATTCAAAGAAAATAAGAATAATAACTGAAGGACACCACAGAGAAAATGATTGTTTTTTTTATAAAAGTATTGCTGAACTTCTCAAGTTTGCAGAAGACCACCTGGATGTTCTACAATGCGTCTGGGACAATGTTCTATGGATGGAGGAGACAGTGTTCGTACTTCTTAGCAGCAATGTAAAACAACAAAGCTTCATCCCAGTTGTAAAGCATAGTGGAAAAAGCATCATGGTTTGAGGCTGATTTGATCTCTTGAGGCCTAGATGAAACAATGAATTGTATTAATAAATTTACATACTGCATGTCGGGGTGATGGTGCATCACTATAAGCTAGGAAAGGTCCTAGACTATTGGCTGTGAAGATTCTTATGTATCCAAGCACAGGCCTAGCTCAGCCTTTCGCAAACTTTTTGACATGGAGGAACCCCTGATATTGCTTTTTGGCTCCAGAGTATCCCTGCTAATAAAGATTATATTTACAGCTCCCAGTAGTGGTTACTTATCTGAGGGGCAGAAATCACTTATTGCTCAAGGAACCCCTAGCAACCTCTGGAGGAACCCTAGGGTTCCTTGGACTCCTACTTTAGCTGGTAGTCCATTCAACTGGACTTGCTCTGTAATGTTGAAGACGGTTTAAAGCTTATCCAAGCCTTGAAGGATTAACACTGATTAAGCCTTCCCAATACCCAGGATGGGTTTATGTAACTAGAACAAGGTGGCTCCACAACTTTCACATATTTCATCCTGTTATTGGACAGTCAACATCTACCAAAAATCAGAGAGAAGGGAATTGGGAAATGCTGGGGAATCCACGTACCGTGTCTGAAAGTGGAGGTGCCACCAGAATATCTGAAAGGGTGCTACCTAGTTAATTATCAAAAATTAAAAGAGAGGAAGAAAAAAAGGTTGCACACCTAAAAGGCTAACCTCAAAGGAATTTTATTATGCACCAATAATAGTTATAAGCCATCGGAGACATGACAATCCTGAATGACAGTGGACCCTACCCCCCCCAGAAATATCAAGAGGGGACCCTCAAGAATGAACCGAGAATAGAATTGATCCACTAGGACTATCCTAGTGGAACCCTCCAACACCTAACCCCTGACACAACCCGCCCCACCAGCCCTATCAACCCCCCAATACCCCCACAAGGACCCACAAGAAACCCCTCCCCTAGATGGAGGACCCTCCCATCCAGCCACCCCCCTCGCAAAGGAGAGAGAGGAGCTGAGGGAGATAAGACCAGCCCACTGACACCACCAACCCCCCAACACCCACTGGATGGAATATGAGCCTGCTACACACACCGGGGGGCTCCTAGATGTGCCAACCATACAGATAATAGGGCAGCACAGTGGCTAAATGGTAAGCACTGGCAGTACTAGGGTTGTTGGTTGAAATCCCAGCCAGGGCACCACCTGCCTGGAGTTTGCATGTTCTCCCTGTGCCTGTGTGGGTTTGCTCCGGGTACTCCGGTTTCCTCCCACCCTCCAAAGATATGCTGGTAGGTGAATTGGATCCTGTCTAAATTGGCCCTAATATGTGTATGAATGTAAGTTAGGGACCTTAGATTGTACACTCCTTGAGGGTTAGGGACTGATGTGAATGTAAAATATATATGTGTAAAGCACTGCGTAAATTGACAGTGCCCTATAAGTACCTGAAATAAATAAATAATAAATAATAGACACAGCTAAAACAATAGACATAAATGCATAGACAAATAGCATTAGTATAAATGGCAATAAACAGAGGTCAGTATGGCCATGGCTGCTGACCAGAGTGGATAACAAGGTATAAAGTCACTGTACAGGTCAAAAGCCTAAAAGTCCATTCATACATGGTATAAATGACCTCTTGTGTGTCCAGAGCCAGATGAATGAAGCTAATAGCCAAACAAGGTATGACAGCCATGGAGTGAGGATGGTCAGCTGGTGACTG